ACTGCCTGAAAGAGGACACTGGCCATATGAATGCGACAAAAAGGCAAAAGGCAAGCATGCTCTGTGTTTTTCCCAGGATGTCCTCCTTCTCCAGCCCCTGCAACTCAGCTTTGCACACAGACAACAACCTACACAGTGATATAAACCTGATTCTCAGGACTTTGAACTTGGACTGGCGACTCTACCAGCTATGGCTGTTCTTAAGCTTGCAGAGGATCGGATGCCTTGGGGGAAAGGATGAAGAAAGATGCCTTCCTCTCGGTTCTGTCGATGAGAATAATGTGTCTGGCGGTGTCAGGGGCAACAGAACACTTTGTCAAGGTTATCATGATGCCAGAGAAGTTGTAACATCATTCTGAGACCTATCATTCAGGGTAAAAGGCAATGGGATGTGTCTCTGGAGTGTAGACCATCAGAGGTCTTAAAGACCCAACAATTGTTATCACTTCTTAAGGAGAAAGGAAAAGGCCATAGGTGCATCCTACGTGTTTAAAGTGCAAATTATAAACATCAGTCTGTATCACCAATCTAAGCCAGAAGCTCTTGGGGTCTTTGATATTAAGAGAAAGCTGGTTGAGGAAACCCCCGAGGATTAGCTGTGGCTGTGATTGGTGCCCGCCGGTCTCTGACTTCATAAGGACCAACTGTCATGAAATGGAAATTTGGGCAAGTCCCTGCTGGACTGCCATTGCCCATTTCTCGCTCTGACTTCATAAGGAGCCCTGTGATGACAGGATTCCACACGCCTATATAAGCGGCTGCGCGGCCCAGGTTTTTGTCCGCTTTACCAGGGAGCTATTTCGGTGACCTGTGTGCTTGGACCCATCTTTGCATGCGCTTGTGCTGGTTGGTGTTGGTGTGCTCTTTTGTTCGTTTGTTTGTTTCTTGTTCTATTTGGTTTTTCCTTTCCCCCATTTGGATTTAGTTTGTTTATTTTCCTCCTATTTCTTTTTTGGCCCATTGTGTCTTTTTTTGCGTTTTTTTTCGTTTTTGGCTTCCCGCATCTGTAGCTAGACAGCGTGGCTAGATCTCGGAGTGTTAGTGTAGCTATTTAGTGTTTGTTGTTTTGGAGTTTTTCTGGTTTTTGTTTTCTGTTTTGGTTAGATAGGACTTAGTTTTGCCACTGTGTTTGATAAGTGTAGTTAGTATAGGTAGTGTGGTGCCAAAGTCAGATCAGCAGGTAGTCCCCTTGTTCTCCCTTTATTTTGTTAGTTATTGTAGTTAGGCTAGCTCCTTAGTTAGTGTGTATGGACAGGAATATTAGCCAGAGTAGTGCAGAGAGCGTAGTTAGGGACACCAACCTGGAAGGCCGTGAGGACCTGGATGCCATCGCCAGCTCTCAGCCTGAGCTCCAGTTGCTGTCGGCCCTGGGCCGGGGCAGCTTTGGCATGGTGGTGCTGGCCCGCCAGGCATCCAGCCAGCGGCACGTAGCTGTGAAGCTTTTCCATTTACACACCGGCGACCCCTTCGGCACCAGGCGAGTGACGCAAGAGGCCAGCATCATGCAGCTCCTGAGGCACCCGAATATCGTGCAGCTGCTGGAGGTGGGTCGTGTCGGCCATTACCACTGCCTGGTGATGGAGCTGGTGGACGGGGGCGACCTCTACCAGCACGTGATGAGCCGGGGCGGCCTGTCAGAGCCCGAGGTCATGGTCATGTTTGACCAAGTCCTGGTGGCCTTGGGCCACTGCCACGCACAGCGGGTGGCGCACAGGGACCTCAAGCTGGGGAACCTGCTGCTGGACTCTCAGCTCAACGTGAAGCTGGCGGACTTTGGGCTCAGCTGCCATCTGCCCGAGGGCGAGCTGGTGCAGGGCTTCCGCGGGACCCCGGAGTACAGCGCCCCCGAGGTGTTCCGGCAGGATCCTTATGATCCATTCGCAGCAGACCTTTGGAGCCTGGGGGTCATCCTCTTTGCCATGCTGGCGGGGGCCATGCCCTTCAGCGGGAAGGACCGGGAGGAGCTGCGGGACTGCATCCAGAGGGGGAGCTACGAGCTCCCGTGTGCGGCCAGCCCAGCCCTGGAGGAGCTCCTGAGCTCACTCCTCAGCCCAGACCCCTTGAACAGGCCTACGGCAGAAATACTTCACCTGCAATGGTGGTTGGAGGGAGCCGAGGGCGAGGAGATGACTGTGGTGCAGCCCCTGGGGGTTCCCGAGGACCCAGACGCCCAGGAGTACCTGGCGGGCCTGGGTCTGCTTCCGGATGCTGGAGCCTCGGTGCCATCTGGTCCTGGAGGATCCAGCCGGATGTCCCTGCAGCCGGACTCCCGGAGCCTGGAGCAGGTACAGCCCTGTTGGCAGAGCGCGGGTCTGGCTGTGGTCTCCCCGCACAGCCTCACGGTTGTGGGCATGAGGGAGGTCCGGAGTGCACCTGTCCTCCTCACCTGTCTTCCCCCATCTCTCCTCAGGGACACAGGGAGCCCGAGCCGGAGCCCGAGCCAGAGCCGGAGTCCATGTCAGAGGCGGAGTCGGATTCAGACTTGGTGCTGGAGCCTGAGCCCGCGCCCGAGCCAGAGTTGGATCCGGAGATGGAGTCAGAGTCGGAACCTGAGCCGGAGCCTACCGTTGCTGCCCCCGTGCTGGCCATTTCCCTCCCTGGACAGCTGCAGGAGAGGAGCCCTGGTGCCAGCCCAGCCCCGGAGCCCATGCCTGTGGCTGCCCCCTCCGCCCCCAGCCCCAGGAGCAGTCCGCACCTGGTGGTGCCAGAGGTCCCAGCAGCTGAGCCTGAGGAGGCTGGGAGCTCAGCATCGGCCTCTGTCCCGAGCAAGGGCCGGCAGGGGCTGGGCAGGAGGATTGGCAGGAGCATCCTCAGATTCCTCCTGCGTGCCTGCTGCCTGCCGGCCCCAGCCCGTGGCCCTGGCCCCCACAGCCAAAAAGTGACCCCCAGGTAGCCTGCCTCAGTGAGCAAGCTGAGCTGCCGGAGGGCTCGCATTTCTTGAGAGCTTTCTGTGTTTCTCGTCAATAAAAATTTAAGCTTTATCCATGCTATTGGTGCTGCGTGTGTTGGGTCCCTGTGTGCACCTTGACGTGGTTGGATGGAGTTGACTACCAGATGGATCTCCCCTGGACAAGTACGGTCCCCTCTCGTTGCTCTGGGTTAACACAAAGGCTGACCTCCTGGACCTGAGAAGAGAGCGATGGCTCCCAGAAGCTGGCTGGAGGGGAGGTTGATGGTGGTTATTGGTGGGTGGGGGATTGGGTGTGGGTGGTGCGAGTAGGAGGGAGGGTCTGGGGTGTGGGAGTTTTTGTTTGGGAGGTGGAGGTGAGGGAGGAGAGCATGGTGAGGCTTGTGGAGGGGGACGGGTAAGGGGGGGGGGAGGCTCAAACGTGCACTGTTGCTCCTCCACAGGAAGGGTTCCTGGATCTGTGACACAGCAGGGAGGTCCTGTCACTAGTGATGTGCATGGAGGCTGAGCTGAGAGTGTCCACAGGCAATGTCCACCTGCACTGCCATTGGAGAACATGACCCCACTCCCGCGGGCCATGTTCCTGACATCACAGTGTGCAGAATGGCCAGCTGTGGACTCGGGCAGCTGCAGGTGGGAGCTGGGCAGGAATTTCTACTGTGGCCTGGGTTCAGCAGAAAACAGAGGCTGCCATGTAGTAGTTTTCTGAAAGTGTTCAGGACATTGGTTCACCTGGCCCCTTCCTGGACATCCATAGCTGACTTTGCAAACAGTAGGGAACTGAAATAGAGTTGGGGCTGTTTATAGAGGACAGGGCCTCTCGGACACCACCAGGGGAAGCTGTGGATATGGAGCACTCCACACCCATGTTACATGTCTTAACTCCATGCTTCAAGGAGTTGCGAGTTTGTTCTTAGGTCATGATCATTTCTGTCACACACATCTGAAGGTAGCATGGATGCTCTGCCAAGATGGATCACAGCCCTCTAGCTCTTCTGCCTCTTCCCTGGGCAGAATTGGTGCTGCACTGTGCTCTAGCTTATGCAGGGGGTCAGGCCCTTCTTGGAGGCCTCGGGGAAGTTACAGGGAAAAGTGACTCCAGAGAAATCTCAAGATCAGCTCCAGGAGGGACAAGTGGGTCATGGTGATCCTGATGGATAAGGCTGTAAGCTGTGTGCAGGGCAGAGGTGCAGACAGTATGTGTGAGCTCTTTGGGGAAGTCTTTCCTTTGGGGTGAACTACAGTGGTCATGGCCAGGTATAGACCTGGGTCCTCCCCATCCAGGTGAAACTGTCCTTCTCCTTGAGGGCAGGGCTGGGGCACAAGAAGCAGGCAGGGATGGGGTGGCAGGCTTGTTGCCCCCGTCTGCTCCCTGGTGTGGATTTTCTTGATGCCCTGCTGCACACAAAGTGTGGACTCCCAGTGTGGCTGTTTTTCAAACCCATGCCAGGCTCTGTCCTGTTCAGGGCAGGACACAGCTCCTCCCCTCACACTGGGGACCTTCGCTTACCTGCCCCCTGCCCGCCTTTCCCTCTGCACACATTGGACGGCCTTGTTAGACACAGATCTTGGGCCACTTCTGGGTCTTTGCAATCCAGAATCTGGAACTGCATCTGGGTCTGCCATGTTGGGTGTCAGGGACCCAAGGACTTGGGTGTTCGCCTGCTGCCTCTCAGCGTGCGATTAGAAACGTGAAATCGAATGCAGTGGCAGGACCGGAACCCAGGTACTAGGACAGGGCATGTGTGCATCCCAAGTGGGGTCTTAAACCCTGCCCCAGACACCTGCGCCTCTTGGGTCTTATTTCAACTAATGAACTCTATCTCAATGCTGCTATAGAGACTGCGCTTTTCTGTTTTTGAATCTTTACAATGCACTGCCTGAAAACATGAGTAGATGTATTTCAGGTATCACTTACAGAGATCTTATATTTCAGGTTCCCTTTAAAATTCTCACCAAGAAACACTGACAATCCGTTAATCCACTCTTTTGCAACTGTGACATTATCTTTGGTTCTGTCAAAGAAAAAACATCTGAAAATAGTGTTCATTAGTAAGTTTTAATTTGCATCTACTTATAATTCAACAATAGGTATGCCAGAATAGGTTGAAACCATTTCATGGGAAGTAAATGGGAGACATTTTGTTACAATATTCCTGAAGCAGTCAAAATTGGGGGAAATATGTTTCCTGTTACATATATTTATAAATTTGAATGTCCTAGTTAGAGGGGACAGAGAGAGAGAGAGCCAGAGAAAAGAGAAAGGGAGAGTGAGACATTTCATACATTTCATTAGCTGCTTCACTCCCATAATGTCACAGTACTAAGGCTAGGACAGGCTAAAGTCAGGAGCCAGGAGCTTCACTGAGGTCTCTCACTTGGGTGGCAGGGCCCCCAGAATATGGAACATCTTTTGCAGCTTTTCCCAGGCCATCAGTAGGGAGCTGGGTTAGCAGTGGAGCATCCTGCTCAGGAACTGGTTCCCAGTGGCGATGTCGGCACTCTAGAAAGCAGTGTTACTGAGTATGCACAATGCTCCTTCTCCTTCACCCACTCCTAACATATTTTTAATGATTTTTTAAAAACATGTTCTTCAAAGGTAGAGCAGTGGAGAGGGGGAGAGTCAGGGAGAGAGAGAGATCTGCGGGTTCACCCCTGAAATGGCTGCAACAGCTTGTGCTGGGCCAGGCTGAAGCCAGGAGCCAGGAGCTCCATCAGGAAGTCGGATCAGAAACACAGCAGCTGGGACCTGTACCACACCATCCGATGTGGATGCTGGTGTCATAGGCAGCAACTTAATCTACTGTGTCCTGATGCTGGCCACTCCCCTCACATTTTAAAAGGAACTAGTCAATCTGCAACAGCATTTATGTACTGCATTTGTGATGCTCGTACAGCACCAGGAGCTGGTGTAGATCACCACTATGATAATTCCTATCCTAGAAAATGTGGCAGTGACCCAGGATGGGGTCAGCCTCTGTGACGACATGAAAAGCCACCCCCTGAGACACTGGCGCCCCATCTGGCACCCATTCATGTCCTGGCTGCTTTCCTTCTGATCCATTCTTTGCTCATTGCCCGGGAAAAGAGCAAAAAGTGGCCAAGTGTTCACCTGCTCTGACTTCATAAGGACCAGCACTAATGAAATACAAATTCATGCCAGTCCCTGCAGAACTGCCATTGGTCCCTTTCTTGCTCTGACCTCATCAGGAGCCCTATGGTGACTGAAGTCCACACATCTATATATGCAGCTCCCTGGCCCAGCTTTTTGTGCACCTTACCCTGAAGGTATTTTAGTGACCTGCATAACTTGGACTCATCATTCTAGCATTTCTGCTTGTTGGTGTTGGTGTGCTATTTTGTTTCTTGTTCTATTTTGTTTATTCTTTCCCCCAGTTTGTTTTTTCCACCCATTTATTGTTTGCCCCATTTTGTCTTTTTTTGCAATTTTTTTTTTTTTTATTTTTTGCTTCACGCATCTGTAGCTAGACAGCGCGGCTAGATGTCTGAGTGTTAGTGTAGCTATTTAGTGTTTGTTGTTTTGGAGTTATTAACTTTTTATTATTTTCTGTATTGGTTAGATAGGACTTAGTCTTGCCACCATGTGCTAGGGTAGTTAGTGTAGCAAGTGTGGTACCATAGTCAGATCAGCAGGTAGTCCCCTTGTTGTCCCTTTGTTAGTTATTGTAGTTAGGGTTGCTCCTTAGTTAGTGTACATGGACAGGACTATTGGACAGAGTAGTGCAGAGAGCGTAGTTAGGGACACCAGCCTGGAAGCCGTGAGGACCTGGATTCCAATCGCCAGCTCTTAGCCTGAGCTCCAGTTGCTGTCAGCCCTGGGCCGGGGCAGCTTTGGCATGGTGGTGCTGGCCCGCCAGGCGTCCAGCCAGCGGCACGTAGCTGTGAAGCTCTTCCATTTACACACCAGTGACCCGTTCGGCACCAGGTGAGTGACGCAAGAGGCCAGCATCATGCAGCTCCTGAGGCACCTGAATATCGTGCAGCTGCTGGAGGTGGGTCGTGTCGGCCATTACCACTGCCTGGTGATGGAGCTGGTGGACGGGGGCGACCTCTACCAGCATGTGATGAGCCGGGGCAGCCTGCCAGAGCCCAAGGTCATGGTCATGTTTGACCAAGTCCTGGCGGCCGTGGGCCACTGCCACGCACAGCGGGTGGCGCACAGGGACCTCAAGCTGGGGAACCTGCTGCTGGACTCTCAGCTCAACGTGAAGCTGGCAGACTATGGGCTCAGCTGCCATCTGCCCGAGGGCGAGCTGGTGCAGGGCTTCCGCGGGACCCCGGAGTACCGCTCCCCGGAGGAGTTCCAGCTGGAGCCCTACGACCCCTTTGCTTCAGATATGTGGAGCCTGGGGGTCATCCTCTTTGCCATGCTGGCGGGGGCCATGCCCTTCAGCGGGAAGGACTTGCGGAGCTGTGTGACTGCATCCAGAGGGGGAGCTACAAGCTCCTGTGTGCGGCCAGCCCAGCCCTGGAGGAGCTCCTGAGCTCACTCCTCAGCCCGGACCTTTTGGACAGGGTACAGCGGAAATCCTTCACTAGCAATGGTGGTTGGAGGGAGCCAAGGGCGAGGAGGTGACTGTGGTGCAGCCCCTGGGGGTTCCCAAGGACCCAGAGCCCCAGGAGTACCTGGCGGGCCTAGGTCTTCTGCCAGACACTGGAGCCTCAGTGCCATGTGGCCCTGGGGGATCCAGCCTGATGTCCCTTCAGCTGGACTCACAGAGCCTTGAGCAGGTGCAGCCCTGTTGGCAGGGCGAACTTCTGGTCACAGCCTTGTTGCACAGCCTCACCATTGTGTGGGGCTCCCTTGCACACGCAGCCTTGAGAAATCCCGAGTGTACCTGCCCTTCTCACATGGCAGTCCCTGTCATCTCTGTGCCTCAGAGAGTCAATGCCCAAGCCTGAGTCCGAGTCAGAGCTTGATCAGAGTTGGAGCCGAGGCCCATGCTAGAGCTGGATCCTGCCATTGCCACCCCCGTGCTTGCCTCTCCACTCCCTAGACAGCTGCAAAGGAGAGTAGCCCTAGTGCCAGTCCAGCCCCTGTGTCCATCTCTGTGGCCGGCCCTTCCACCCCTGCCCCAAGAGCAGTCTGCACCTGCTGGTGCCAGAGGTCCCAGCAGCTGAACCAGGATGGGGAGAGGGGATGGGAGAGGTTTCTTATTTTAAAACTCTGTCTTTCAAATCTGAAGGTAAAATAGATGCTCTCCATACAGATCACAGCCCTTTTGCTGTTCTCCCTCATCCTGGCACAAAATCAGGGCTGCATGTGCTCCAGCTTGAGCAGGTGGTCAGGCCATTCTTGGAGAGCCCCTGGGAAGTTACAGGGATAAGTGACTTCAGAGACATCTCAAGGTCACCCCCAGCATGACAAATGGTTCACCCTCCCTCTGGCAATATGATCTGCTGTGGGCTCTCACATCAGTCTCCAAAGCATGTGTATCTCAGCTGCAAGGGTGCTGTGTTTCCTCTTAGCTCATTCCTGAATGTCTTTACCTTCCACATTGATCCACTGGATTCCTCTTCCTTATGTACAATTTCCACTGGAGATTTCTTCCCACTGTTCCCTGTGAATACATTTCCTTCACTTTTTTTCTGCTATTTTCCCCTCTTCTAAAGCTGTGCATCTGTTGCCTTGGAATCTCCCTGAAACAATATAATTTTTAAATCTTTTTACTTGAAAAAAATTAACAGATACAAAAATTATATGTATTTATAAGCTAATATATTTTGTTAAAGGTATAATAGTCAATCAGTATAAATATATTTATCCTTTCAAGTGCTTAACATCTGTTTGTAGTGAAAACATCCAAAAAATCCTATCTTAGGTTTTTTTTATTGATGGAAACATACAGTAAATTAACATTAACTATCTTCACCCTACTGTCAATCAAACCCAAGAACTTCTTACTCCTATCTAGATACAATCTAGCACTCATTAATCCATCTCTCCCAATCAATTACTCTCTACTTTCCTACTTATCTCTGCTAACCACAATCATAATTTTAGCTTCTCAGGATACAAAGCAGACTTATAGCATGGCAAATGCACTAAATAGCACTCTGGCCTCAGAATCAGCCCTTAAGGCAATCAGATCTGGCTAAAAAGCCCATAAGAGTTTCTCAGGCATGGAAAGCCAAGATACTGTGGCCAAAAATGACCTAAATGAAAGATCTCTGTGAGTGAGATCCCAGTGTAAAGAACAGGCCATCAAAGAAGGAGGTACCTTTCTCTGAAGGGAGGAGAGAACTTCCACTTTGATTATGGCCTTGTCTAAATAAGGTCAGAGTTTGTGAACTCAAGAGGATTTCATATCCTTGGCAGCTCATGACAAGAGCCTCGGGTGATTACTGACGTCATAAATAAGAGTGTCAATTGTTAAATCAACAATGGGAGTCACTGTGCACTTATTCTCCATGTAGGATCTCTGTCCTTAATGTGTTGTGCTATGCAAATTACCGGTAAAACTAGCATTCAAACAGAACTTTAATACTTCGTGTGTCTGTGTGGGTGCAATCTGTTGAAATCTTTACTTAGTATATACTAAATTGATCTTCTGTATATAAAGATAATTAAAAATGAATCTCAATGAAGAATGGGATGGGAGAGGGAGTAGGAGATGGGATGGTTTGTGGGTGGGAGGGTGGTTATGGGGGGAAAATCCGTTATAATCCAAAAGTTGTACTTTTGAAATTTATATTTATTAAATAAAAGTTTAAAAAAATAGCTTCTATGATATCATCCTTGTGATTATTCCAGAACTATTCACAATATCCAGGAAATGAAAATAACCTAAATGTCCATCAGCTGATTAATGGAGAGTAAATGTGGTACATTCCCACAATGGAATGTTGCTCAGTCATTAAAAGGATGAATTCGTAATTTTCAATGAAACTGGATGTCATTATGTTACGTGAAAGAAGCCAAAATTGGAAAGAGAAACAGCATCATTTTTAATCTTATAGAAATAACTTTATAAGTGTTGATGCTAAGAAAACAAAACAGTAATAAATTGAGCACAACTTTTAAGCCATGGAAATAAAGTTCTTCTTAAACTTTACAGGCAGTCTTTTCATGGAAAATCAAAACAAATGTTCCTGCCTCCACTGGACAATCAAGTCTAATTTAAGCTGTCAAGTAACTCATTGGGATTTCTGAGCCTCCCTCCCTTAACGATAGATGTGTGCCCATCCTCAGCAGAGGGACACAGACTGCAGGCAGAGGAAGACACCCCTTCCCTTGCATTTCTCTATCTCCTTCTTGTTTCTGTTCTCTAATCCTTCATGGTGAAAGCCTACACTCACCCACTTTTTCCAGGGAACTTAAGTCACATGTTATGGGGTCATCTATTTATTTTTTAAAATCTTTCCCTACAGAAGAGTTACCTCTTGATCAATTCACCAATAAAATGTCAATGCATAATTTGCCCAAGTCTGCATCATTCTGCAAGGCCAGATTCACATAAGGCCCAATACTGTCAAACTCCAGTCTATACACTCATTTCATGTGAAGACTTTTATTGGTTTTCTACTTTGCCCAAGCACCCATAGCCTTTATAATTGTTCATATGAACTCAGAAAATGTTTTACCCCGATTACTTCCATTTTGCCTGTCTTATCACCAAAAACTGCCTGTAGGAAGCCATAATTCAGTACAAGGAGAATAGGGATGCAGAGCAGATGGAAAAGGATTAGCGTTGCACCTTGCTTTACCACACTCTGGCTTCAGGAGCTTGGGCAAGTTATTTCCTGTCTTTGCAGCTAATGTCCTCACCTGGGAAATGTGTCTAATACCTGAAGGATTGCTGGAGTGAGGATTTTTTTTTTTTACAGGCAGAGTGGACAATGAGAGAGAGAGAGACAGAGAGAAAGGTCCTCCTTTGCCGTTGGTTCACCCTCCAATGGCCGCCGCGGCCAGCTCACTTCGCTGATCTGAAGGCAGGAGCCAGGTGCTTATCCTGGTCTCCCATGGGGTGCAGGGCCCTAGCACTTAGGCCATCCTCCACTGCACTCCCGGGCCACAGCAGAGAGCTGGCCTGGAAGAGGGGCAACCGGGACAGAATCCGGTGCCCCGACCGGGACTAGAACCCAGTGTGCCGGCGCTGCCAGGTGGAGGATTAGCCTATTGAGCTACGGCGCTGGCCCTGGAGTGAGGACTTTGAGATGTGAGGGGACAGAGCCTGTAGAAGGTAAATGCTCATCATTGTTAGCCATGCAGTTGGACCTCATGCTGCCTTCAAGCATGAAGCATGCAATAACTCTCATTTGCAAATCTTATTATCAATAGGACACCGAGATATTTCACTTGGTTGAAAACTGATTATATGTTTATTTAAATATGGTTCTAACACAAAACTAATTAAAAAATGAATATGCTCAATGTTGTGTTTTTAATGCTTTTGAATTACGTGTTTTCATTTAAGTGAAAGGCACTGAGACAGATAAACAGCGGCAGACAGACACGGAGAGATCTTCTATCTGCTGATTCATTCCTCAAATGCTCATAACAGGCCAGGGCTGGGTCAGGCCAAAGCCAGGAGCCAGGAACTCAATTCAAGTCTCCCAGGTGGCTGGCAGGAGCCCAAGTATATGTGCTGTCTCCCAAGGTGCACATTAGCAGGAACATGGGTTTTAAGTGAATCTAGAACTCACACCAGGCACTCAGATATAGGATATGGATGTTAAAGTTGTGTCTTCACTGCTGGGCCAAACACTGCCCAACCAACAAAGTTCTTTTAGTGATTTCGTGTATCCCCTGATTAGCAGCTCTTCAAGATATAGAGATGCACACATTTTAAAATGTTAAACAAAATTTGCTTTTAGGCACATTCTTCCAGATAGACATGTTTTAGCTCTGTTACTCCCCAATATTAACTTCAAAATGAGAAATAGAAGATATTAGCCTGGATCTCAAAAACATGTCAGTAACATTAATAGATTTCTGTCTAGAAAATATTGATGAAAAAATACTGAGGCCATTGTGTGGTTACTATGAAATAAAAGTAAATATTTAATTGTGTGTGGTATGTACTGTATAAATTATATAGACTATAAAGTTATGGAAACTAATATATGTGAAGGAAAAGCAATATTGCACCAATGAAGCATACTATTTGTACCTCATTAACTGGAAGTAGTGAAAATTCCTATGAAAGAAGAATTACTCCATGAATGAAAATCTCATGAGAAATTGAAATCCAGTGGTCTGAGGTCACTGAAAAATCTAAGCAATATGTTATATGTTTTGAAATAAAAATTTCATTATAAAACATAATATAAGGATATTCTATACCGGGTTTCACTTCACCTCTTCAATGGGAACTTTTTAAGAGCTGTTCAAACTGGAATTTCAACAATGTTTTGATAAAACGTATTTTGTCACAAAAACCTTCTGACTTAACAGTTTGTAATTATTGATATAGTTTATGCACAGAGAAATTTGAAAACTTGGATAACTATTCTGATAGCAATTCTTCTGCCCAAGTAAAGTTCCTGACAAAAACTGGACCAACCAACCCATGAGTCACATTAAGCTCATCTATTTTCACTTAAGTATAGGCAAATATTGATAAGAAATAGTTTATACAAAAACCTTCCACCTATCTTTACCATAAAAATTTATTTGCCCAGTCTTATCAATTCCATATACAAACTATATTTTTATCCTTTCATGTTTCTCTTTGCAATCACTTCCATATCTGAGTTTTTGTAAAATAACTTCACATTTTTCTGTTAGAATTTTAGGCCTCATGAAATTCAAACTATGTATTATTAGCAGAAGGATAAAAGTTAAGTCCTGCTACAGCTTTTTGTAAATGTCTGACGTTTACACACAAAGCCTAGCTTATATAAAGATCTAATTGCAAGGTAGCACAATGTTGTTTCTTCTATAAACATTCCCTTCCTAACTGCCACAGGTCTCCTTACTATCTTCAAAACAAAAATCCTTTGCCTGATGAATTGATTGTGTGAATTCACTGCAGGAAGCTCAAACTCAATGAGATTTAACAAGAAGGAATTTTTGAGTCTCAGATAGCATGGAACTCAGAGAGGGGTTGGGTTCTGGGTCTGCTCCTTTGGGGTCCCCACCCTACTTCTCAGATTTTCCTAACTGCTGGCATCTTTGTGATTTCCTCAGCTAATTATCCTCAACCTGGTCCCTCTCATGGAATGGAAACCATGGAACATACCCTCTACCATGCACCTTGTTGGAAAAAAGGTAGCTTCTCTTTTCCATGGAACTAGAGAAATGTTCTCCGTGATTCCCACTTGCTTATAATTACCTCCTCCTGAGACAATCAATAGAATGGGGGTGGAATTACTATAATAGACTCATCAATGTCTTGAGGGTGATGCTATGCTATATAATGAACACTGAGAAGTCAGTTGTGTATTTTATGTAACAGATCTGATTTTTGCAAGGTATGGCCCGATTTGCTTGTACACACTCTAAATGTTTACCTGCGGTTTCTGAAATGTGTCTCTCCTCTTTCCCTTTGGTCATTTTTTTTTTTTGGGTCTTCACCTTGTTGATAAAAAATGAGCTTCAAAAAAGGTGTTTGTTTTTATGTGAGAACTGTTAATCAAGTGCTTTCTGTGTGCTAGAGCCAACTGCTTACAAAGATAGATGATAGGACATCAGCTTT